GAGCAAGGACGCTGCTAGAGGCTCCTGGCCTTACTACTAGGAGCAAGAACGCTAACGCTACTAGAGGCTCCTGGCCTTACTACTAGGAGCAAGAACGCTACTAGAGGCTCCTGGCCTTGCTACTAGGAGCAAGAAGCTAGTAGGAGCAAAGGGCCTCGGTGGCTTCCTCTTGGGCGGCGGAGCTGGTGAAGCGCGCCGCACGGCCCACCACTGCAAGACCAGCCTCTTCTCGAGCCACTAGGCGGCGAACCTGCAAGACATAGGCCTTGGAAACGACCGAGGCCATCGTCCGAGGTATCCGAGGTGCGTAGGCCGATTTGAACTATTTGCAGCTTGGGGTAGTCATTGGAGACCTAAGAAAGCCTCTAAGACTCACGTATACAGACTCTGACGGTGCGATCCTCTCGCTCTTTCGTCTCTCAGTCCAGGACCTTGGAACTCTTGCTCTGTCGCATGTCATTGGCCAACTCGCTGGCCAAGGGCGGCCGCGGCGGAAAGCGCCACGCGATATCCGCCAACGTCGACACCTCATCCACGGCTTGCCGCCATAGGTCCCGTCGTGGACCACCCAGAGCATCTCGCACATAGCGCTGGGCTAAGGCGGCTAAGACACCGAAGACGCAGGCTGCCACACGACGCCAGTTGGTCAACCTCACCAGATCCATGCAGTTGTTTGTGAAACATGTGTGGTTCTTAACCCAAATGGTAAGTAGTAAGTAATTACTTGTCTTCCATAACTTGGCCTTCAGCTTCCTCGGGCATTCAGGAGTCCCCTCCAAGACATTTCAAGAAGTGGCAACATACCCGCAGACCCACAAGCTGTATCTGAGACTCTGTATGACAGCACTGGCACAACATGAGAAGAGAACATGTTCGAACTCTCGAAGGGAATAGGAAGCCCAGCTCCGGGAGAAAACGCCAAGGAGTGACGGTCAGCGGTCAGCGCTTGCCGATGTTTCGCCCTTTTTTTGGCCGGTCCGGGGGGTGAAGAGGATGAAAGACCTTCACAGTTCGTTTGAAAGAGTTCATCAAAATTGATGGTGGTTCATTTGGTAATCAAAGTCGTCACCCGACTCCTTCATTTTATCTTCCTAGATGACGCTACCACTTAGATCTAGCTGTGGAGTTGCTGGCTTTCCAGTTGCTTCTATCCTTCATTCACCTCTTCTGGTTTTCAAGCAACCCAAAGTTTCTGTTGAAACAAACCTTCAGCGTCACACACACACACACTGTCACCAGGGACCCTGAAGAGGATAGCTTGATCTTCAGCTCCCAGATCGCGAAACCCTCAGTGCAGAATGGGCTTTGAGCCGTGATCTTGGGCCCCAAGTTCTCTGGAAGCCATCCATGTCGCTGAAGCCAAGCTGACCTCACATGATGCCATGGTGGTTTGCGAAATCAACTTCACTGGTTGGCAGGTATAGACAAGAGAAACTATTCTGTGCTGTACGGGCTACATGTCTACGATCTTAAAGAGTACAAATCTCTGGCATGTTCTTGATCTTCAGCCATTATCCTGTAAACGTCGGGAAAGATCCGCTCGTCTCAGGCAAACCAAGATGTTTAACTCTCGGTTTTGTTTCTTCTATCAAGCACTAATGACAAGACGACTTATCGAGCCGTACATGTGCAGCATGTGCCCAGCCATCATCACAAATCCGGGACACAAAGATCCGGGCCCCTGATGCGCCACCAAGTGCGACAACACCACCAGTGGCTTCGATGCTCGGAAGCTGGTCACGTCCAGCGCGTCGGCTGAATTCGCCTCGAAGGGGATGCTCCAGGTGAAACTGATGGCGGGATCATCCTTGGTGTCGACGACCTCGGAGATGAGGTCGAACCCTTACCCTAGAAGTCGTGGCCCACAATTTCAAGCCTGAATACCCGAACCACCTTTGTTTTACTAACAATTTTCACTTCACTACAAAAGATCAACCATTTTAAACATGGTCTTGGACTTCCAGTGCTTCTGGTGCAGACGTATGCTCCTTTTCTGTTGCTTCTCTGGCAAAATCCGGCACATGGCTCATACAATGGGTCGATGGATATCGATGGGCTGATGGCAGAGGTGGTACCACAATCAGCAATGACTGGAGTGAGATTGTGGATCAGGTGTACCGAACCATCTCTCCAAGCTGCAAAGCACGGTGCCACCGTCTCCGCCGCAGGCAGCGGATCGGCCCGGCTGCGCGCCGTCCGCGGCTCCGCCGCGCGCGGCGCACGGGCGGCGAGGCCCGCGAAGGCGTCGGCGACGACGGGGCGCAGCTGCACGATGGGCACCGGCGCGACGATGGCCTCGTCCGTCGATGGGCGATGGTCGACGATGGAGCGGAGGTGTCGAGTGCACCGTGGAGCGGTTGGGGGTTGGGGGTTTGAGCCTAAGCATGCCGAGGGCCACGCCTGGGAATCCTTTCGGCATCCAAATCGAACCATGGGTGTTGAGCCACGTATCGAACGGGATGCTTCATTTATGTCAACTTGACTAAGTCTCCAGGCCGCCAAAATTTCCAGAAGGAAATCAAAAAATCATCGGAACATATACCGTAGTTTAACCTTAGGAAAACGAACAGTCCAAACCCCCGTTTCTGTGGCTAAGGCTGATGGCGTTTTGCGACGTGCTGACATCTGGGCAGCATTGCACATGAATATCAGTCAAACCCTCCTAGCCCTGGCATAGCTAGTTACTAGCCAAGTGTATTCGGCGAATCCCCTTTTAGTTGTACAAGTGCAAGAATCCATCGCTTGGATGCATTGCTTCCAGTATCGGAGGAGTCATTTCCCTATAGCCGCATGTACAACCACTAGTGGAAGCGGGTGAGTCATGTTCCCTATCTTCTCAATATTTATCCCTAAAGCTCATCCCTTGTTTGTAGTCCTCCTGGAGCGTATCAAGCACATGGCTTTGGTTCTCCAGGTGGTCTTTTGATAGATGTATAAACAAACATGAACACACAGTTGATGATGCTGAAAGTATTGGGGTCGCAAACATCTTCTGGGCCACGGGTGACTGAGGATTGAGTTTGAGAGAATCGTTTACCAAGAATTGAACTTTCAATCGAGCATTCCGGCTGGTAATTCGAGCACGGCCACCACGTTGCATTTCGTGAATCTGTTTTTGCAAGGCGCTTTTGTTGTTTCTAATTGGATGTCATCATCGAGCGTCGCAAATTCATGCAATTGCCAAAACACGAGTATAGTGAGGGTGTAGAGCAGCCTCCATACTTGCCAGATGCAACAAGTCGTAAGGCGTCAATCAATGGTCTGATGCCAAACAAATAAATGATAAATTCACGATGATGAGAATCAAAGATGTTGTTCATCGGTACGCCTCTAGGAAGATGAACTTAACTTCCGCTGTTGCAGATTTTGAAAGCCAACGGGTTCCACTGATCTTCCAATTCCCATCCAAGTGACAAGGGTGGCATTCTCTGCGGCCACACCTCACTCATCAACCCATGAAACCGGTCATTCCTCGTCACTGAAACATTCGTCTATGGTATCTTAAAAAGACGCTCTGTTAGGTGGAGGCCATCGCTTCTAGGTAGGAGGCCATCGCTATAGTAGGTAGGATAAAACTATCAACTTGACCTGTTCATGATTCAAAGGGGGCCCCGGTAAAACAGCCCACCTGTTGATTCGTCATCACCAAAGCTGACACCAGGAGGAAGGTCGTCTTGTCTTCCCAACCCCTTCTGTAAGTGCCCATCTCTTCACGTGAGATCACTAGTAGTAACAAGAAGCTACTAGTACCATGACCATCAGAAACCTACAAAAATGTAGGTCGGCATTCAATAACCTGGCTTTCACCAAGAAACCTACAAAAATATACGTTATTTCCTCTCGATGTCAAGAACCCGTATTTTCTCATGCATCCTGGCATGTATTATTCCATGTATCCACAGAAGACCATTAGAATTCACATACCACTTCAAAGTGACACAAACCAGGTGTATCACCAGGTTATAATATATCGTGATACGTGGCGTCCGCTTCTCGCTCAGGTGGCTTCTCGAATGATGCTTGGATCAAGGGATCATGGTCTTTGTCTTTGAAGCTACTAGTAATTATAATAAGAAGCTTTTTATAGGTCTTTGAAGCTTCTTCGTAGCAAATAGCACTATAGTAACTACTGGCCTCCCTCGATTTCGACCCCAGAATCGCCGCCGAGCCACTCCGGAAGAGCTCCTGGCTCAGCTTCGCCAAGCGCTGAAGGTCTTCAGGACGATCTCCCAAGGGCAACCTGAAAGACCGATGAAGATGGACGTCCGCAGCACATTCGGTCAGTTTCGCTTGGCTTTGGGTTTTGTTTCTTGGTGTCCCTGATTTCTGTGCGTTTGGTTGATAGGGTTGATGAAGAGTTCTTCAAGAAACAACGTCTGGAATACACTGATAACCTCCGATCTCAAACGTTGATTTGGACCATGGAAAAGGGACGGGGATATTCTTACTTGTCTCAATTATTGTTTCAGTTGGTACCAGTAGGAGATTGGTTTGGGGAATGCTGAGGAGGTCCCGAACCAAATCAACCTCCCAGACTCAGACCACATGAAACACTCGTTGGGATCGGGGCAAGACCTCCGGCACAGCCTCAAGCAGTTGCAGCTCACCAAGATTCCAACGACTAGAAGAAATCAAAACCAAGAACTGGTTTCAGAGCTGCCAGGGCTGGTCGAGATAAAACAATCATGTTGTCCTCAACTGCGGATTCATTTGTCAAGAAGCTATTAGGGGCTCCTGAGGGGCTCCTGGCCTTACTACTAGGAGCAAGGACGCTATTAGGGGCTCCTGGCCTTACTAGGAGCAAGGGTGCTACTAGGGGCTCCTGGCCTTACTACTAGGAGCAAGGACGCTATTGGTATTTATTCAAGAAAAGACCAAGAAATCAGCTCAGCTAAGCAACAGGGTCTTCATGCTGCCAGGGCCAAAAGCTCTTAGCGGATGACCTTCCACCTGACGAAGTATCGAGACTCAGGTGCGCTGGGGGTGGGGCGTATCAGTGTCCCCTCCAAGGCAGGTGAAAAAAAGACGCCGTTTTCCATGGAGTTCTCGGAATTCTTCCGAACCCTCTTCCGAACCCACCTGTTTCGGCCGCTCTTCAATATGATGTGATTCTTCTAACACGAGGAATGAAGCGACTCGGTCAGACGGTGTTTACACCGTGTTTGGTGAAAAGGTCTGTAAACACATCGAGGTCTGTAAACATCGATGTCCCGCCGTCCGACATCTCAAGAGCTGTAAACTCCGCAGCTGGGCCGAGAGCCTCGGTCCGCGAGGGTCAGAACAAGGGCGACGGCGAAGCGACGTCATGAAGAACCGCAAAAAGAACGAAACAACTTAAAACATAACGAAACAACTTGACTATAGTTGATGTTTGCAATCACTTCTAAAGAAACTACAGCTTTGATGGAAAGCTTCTGTTGAAGACCTGTATACAATTGCATAATACAAATTAGCCTAAACATGCCTTATAGGCACTCAACTAAAGATCGATCTTCAGTTCATGTTCCATGATCCCCAAAAACGGTCATGTTCACTATGCCTAAAAAAAGAGAAACATCCAAAAAAGATCTAAAAAAAGGAAGTTACCAAACCAACTCCAAATTCGATTTCCACCGTCACCGTCTCCGTTCCCCCACACCTTGTGTGTCAAACCTGCTCTGTCCAAGAGGCCCATCCATGAACTCGCCATCGATCCGTCGCACCTCTCGCGCCACCGAGGACGCCACGAAGCGCGGATCAGCGGCGTCCGACGCGTCGGCGTCCGCGGCGCGGAAGCAGCGGCCGAAGCGCGGCAGCGCGGAGGACCAGTCGCTGGCCTCGCAGGAGAGGGTGAAGAGCGCCTGGAGACGTGGACGGTGGAGGTCGGGGCGAAGCCGAAAGAAGGTCGGAGGGGCAGCAGATGGCAGGTGGACAAAGAGGCGACGACACAACGGGGATCAAGGGTGCTCGTAGAGTTGTGGTGTTCTCCACAAGGCTCAGTGAGCTGCCGATCTTCCTAATCAAAGGCTTCCTATCCCAGACCAGCCAATGGAACCCAGTGCATCCCAGTTACCACTATAATTATAAGGAACCAGGGATTCTAGGTCTATGGTGTTAGTCTTTGGAACCAACTGGTTACCAGCGACATCGTGGTTTGCCTGGATGCCCTGGGGAATATATGCCGATCAGTTGACCCCCCAAACCACCTCACCTGATCGGTCAAGATGTCAGTCCCGGAAGGCTGTGGGTCGGCACCTGAGTCCGTCCCTCACCCGACTGACCTACTCGGTTTGACCTGTCGTTGGTCGCCGTTGGTCGTGTATGTTCAGTGCAAAAAAATCATCGGTGGATCGATGTGTGCTGGTTGATCGAGTGGACTGAGAGCCAGACATGGCCCCCCGGTTTGTCGGAGGTTCATGTCGACCCCCATCTTACCCAGAGGCAACCCGAACGAGGCGAACCTATCTTCCTCCCACACTAACAAAGCCAGGTCTTGATGAACACAAATCAAGTCCTACTGGCGTGATAACCAGAAAACACTCAGCCTCAGTCAACGATAGGCATGGTCTGGTCTGGTCTTGGCGATATGCCTGCCATGCGAGTGCCTTCTGCTTTCCGCGGACCCAGGGGCTCCCGATGTTTGCTCCAAACCACCACGACCTCCTCACATACTGCTGTTCCAAGGCACTGATTCGAAGGCCGTGAATCCATTGGACTCGCCAAACCTGGGGCGCTCCACTCCCAAAACGAGGGCTGAAGGCCAGAATCCGAGAAGACCAGGGGAAACACACATTAATATAACATGCATATCTATACGGCTCTGTTCCCAAAACGAAGACTCCCAGTTCTCAATGAGAAGACTCTCAGTTTTCATGAGAAGAGCTGAGCTTCATCATAATCCATTTATATATTACACCAACACTTGAAGGAATCCGACAACTTGCACATCTTTCATCATGTCATCCTTCTGAAAAGCACTGGCTTCGTGGGCAGAAACATCTGGCCGCGTGTCTGAGGAGCTGGGCAGTAAAGGGTTTGACCTTAAATGGAGTCTGATGATAACTACGTTTTCACGGAAACTTTGCTGTTTTGTCAGATCCTGCAGAAGCATTGCTTCTGATCCAAATTGATTCCTGGATTTTAGGGTAATGCACACGTAGGATTAATCAACCCCCCCTTCAAGGTCAACAAGGTGAACAAGGTTTGGCATTGGAGGAATTGGAGACCACATCCCCTTAATAAAGATGATGACCTGATGATGGATGATGAGATGAGGACCTGGACCTGATGATGGGTGATGGTTGATGGGATGGTGTGTGAATCGTGAGAGTTTGAACCATGAGAACCATGAAGGGTCTGAGTGTATGTGCACAAGTTTGATCAGAGATCAGATTGGATTGACTAGCCAAAAAGAAAATAACAATGGACATAAATAGTAAATTATATGTTGTTTTTCTGGGGCAGCTGGGCTTGATTAATAGTGGGGGTTCTGACAAGGAACACAAATTATCAAGGGGAGGTTGCAGGGTTTTAATTTGTTTAGTATTGGAGGCTCCAGCTGAATCCTATGTGAGCATTATACTGGTACTCCCCAGACTCTATGTTGGCTGTGCCATGGACTTTGGTACTTCTTGGCAAGATCATCTCACACTACTCCATGCAGGATACAATCGAGTAAGAAACTCTCTGATGAACTACGAATTGATGGATGAACACCTGCACCCATTTGGCCCTTCGTTTCTCCGCATTCACCAGGCATCTACCATGAGTTCTCCATGGTTCCGTCGCCCGTGGTGTGACGTCGCCGAGGGGCCGCGTCTCCAACCAGGTTTCCAAGTCTTCTCCCGCGTCCTTCTCCGAGAGCAGCAAATGCTCCGTCAGGTGCGCTAAGCCGGGCCGATCCGCTGGATCATCGAACTGGCCAAAGGGCAAGGTCAAGGCGACATCCATCCTCGAGAGGACGGTGGTTCTGACTGGGAGTCACTGGCAGTCAGGTCGTGGTGTTTGAACTGGGCGCAGGACAGCTCACGCTTCTTCAAGGAAGCTCTCCCCGTCCTAAAGGTGGCGAGGAGGAGATTCCTTGAAGAAGCTCTCGCACTAGACCCATAAAATTGTTGGGTTTGAGGCCATCGCTCTTAGGTAGGAGGCCTAGACTTTGTTCCTAGGTTTTTTAAAGGAAACTTCACTTGCAAGCGCTGGCCACATGAGTGATAATGAAGAGAAAAAACTGAAGTTCACCCCGATGTGGAGTTGTAGTAGAGGTTTCATCTTGCAAAGAACAGACCATAACATGACATACTCTATATAATATGCCATACCCCAATAGGCTAGAGTGCAAACCTGATTTGATCACACAAATCGTCACCCCATGCAATAGGGGACCTCAATCCTTCCCAAACAGTTCCGCGCATCGGGATGCGGGACGGGCATCAGCGTGCCAAAACAAATGCGATGCACATCATTCTCAGTCGTTCACTCAAAAAGGGAACTTGGAAACAGTTAAAAAAAAAGAAAAAAACACTGCCAGAAAGGGGAAACACATAGAAACACATCGACAAAGGGACCACTGCCCAGCCGAAGCCTCTGTTCCATGGACTCATCCTCCACCAAGAGCACCCGCAAGCCATTCGTCAGGCGAAAAGCTTTGTAGATCCGTGGTTTGTTCCAGGGTGAATCCGCATTGGCGGCGTCGGGAGAGAGCACCTGGCCAGGTGGAGCGTCCCCTAGACTTCCGCAAGACCATTAAAAACAAAAATGGGAACGACCTGGTTATTGTAGTGCGAAATCCTTAGTTCATTCGGGATGACCCGCCTATTAATGGTGGGCCAGGTTTCCACAGCGGTCGTTTTGGAAACCGATCGGCAGGGGTCGGTCCGCACGGATGGCGTATCCAAGAGGAGGTTGGGGGAGGACAGGCAGCCTTTGGCGGGAAAACACCAAGTGACCAGATTCGGTTCCTCCATGTTCCTTCTCAGTCTTTTGCTACACCTTACTGACAATGTGTGGGTCGAAACAAAAGATCCCAAAACTGGCTCAAAAGCCGATGATGCTCAGCTTCGAAGGGCGCCACTGGTAGTATGTCCGTTGATTCTTTGACCACTAAAAGATTATGTTGAAGCGTTGCTTGACCAAATGACAGGTGAAGGCGTGAAGAGCAAGATCCGAGAGCTCTTCAAGCTGATGGCTGACAACTTCGAAGTGAACCCCAGCCAACAAGCCATCAGCTACCCATCCCCGCCAAGCTACCCCAAAATCCAAAGGACATGTACCGAGCACCACACCCGAAAGCCGTATACACAGCAGTGCGTGCACGCACTGCGCTGTTCGATGGCCGCACTGCCACCTCTTCGTCCTCTGTGGCAGCTTTGGCCACCTCAGCCAGGACCCACGGCAACGCCGCCGCACCGCGCCGCGGCAGCGCAACCAGCGCGGGCGCGGCAGCGGGGCAGGGAGTCGGAGTGGAGGCCGCCAGCGTGGAGAGGATCCTGGGTCAGGCGACCGAGTCGGGATGGGGATGATCAAACACGAAAAGACGCTGGATCGGCTGGATCGGCTGGATTTAGATATCTCATCATATCTACCATACTGGACAGAGGGGATTCGAATGGAATGCTGGATGGGGTGGAGAGAAAGAGACACAACTTTCTGCCCAAAGATCTGCAGGATCCATGTAGCGGTAGCGACCATCCAGAGCTGATGCTTTCTGCAGAATGTCTCGGAATGTTTCATGGGTTGCGTCCTTGCTTGGTTGAAAGTACATTTGAGTGCTCACTTGCGTCCGCTTGGAGGCCGCTATATCCGGCCGGTTGGTCGCTTGGTTGCTAGGCTTGGCTTGCGTGCTGAACTTCATCCGCCCGAAGGTCGGTCGGTCGGTTTGTTTGTACACGAAGGTCCTAGTAGATTCCTTTGGTAGTAATTACAATTCTAATCAAATTCTTATTGTTACTACTAGTAAGGCACTTGTTACTAGAAGCGATGCACTTGTTACTAGTAGCTTCTTGTTACTACTAGTAAGGCACTTGTTACTACTAGCGTGGCACTTGTTACTATATAGTAGCTTATTACATGCTATCCCCCGAAAGTCGGTCGGTCTGGACACGGGGCGTTTGGGCGTTTGGACATGCATAGAGCCGGTCTGGCTCGAGCCAAGGAGCAAGTTTCAACAAGCATCAATCTGCACTGCTGAGAGCTGGATAAAGGGAAGCACCTCCTCATACCTGGTTCTTTTTCTGAAAGTAGATGCCAGGAGGATGATGCTGACACAGGCCAAACCCTGAACAAGAAGAGGTAAATCTAGACCAAAAGGATTTAGCTTCAACTCGTGTGGCGACCCTCCAACTCTTCATCGAGGTACCACAATGAGCATGCAGTTCCTCAACAGCTATGCCACTCTCTGGCTACCTAATGCCCTTTTACAATCAATATTCACTTTAAAGTTTGAAAAACACTTGAAGATCGTGGATGGTGTGGTCCCACCATCTCAACCTCATCTTTCGCACCGAAGCGCCACTGCGAGCGATCCCATTCCCTTCGCCCCGCGGCCGCCGGACGCCTCTCCCGCGCATTCCTCGTGGCCAGCCAGCATACCACCTGCCGACCAAAGGGAGCGCTCCGAGTCACGACGTCACGACGGAAGAGTCGAAGAAAACCACATCGACTGGAAAAATAAAGATCTAAAAAAAAAAGAAAAACTATATTTGCTATATGTGATTGCCTCCTAAGACCGGTGGCCTCCAACCTAAGAGCGATTGCCTCTGCGGTGACTCTGCAAATATTGTAAACAACGTACACATCTCATCAAGCGTTCGGTAGTAGTACAGGAATCTCCTATCTTCCACGTGGTTGTCTTCTACCTTGTGTCAGCCTTTACCTGGCCCATGTTCTTCGAACAGATCACCTGTTCCTAAAAAAACAAACAAACACTTGCAAAGGCGCTTTTTGAAGATATATCGTCTGTGTTCCTGCCTGGCTCAGTCCCCTGACCCTCGATGTTTCTCGCTCGCTGAGTCCCCCGGCCCAGCATCACAAAGTCGGCACCGGCGCCAAAGGCTTTGCACACGTCCCCGGGACAGGTGCACCTCGTGTCAGCGAAGGTGGGTCGCGAGTGAGTCGGGCGCCCGAGTCGGAGGGTTGGGCGCGAAACCGTGGAGTCTTGGATTGTTTGACAGATTCTTGATTTGCGTGAGGCAAGAAGTTGGCCCATCGTGATTAAGCTCAAACAGAATGGAGGAATAATCCCAGACTGCCGAAACCATTGTAGACCCAAAAGAGAACTGGTATCATATTATTGTTACATTACATACAATTATTGTTACACCCTCTGTTCAGAGGGTTCACGACTAGTCATCTGTCGAACATCATGGTGGATGCATCATGGAACATCCAGCACCCCAATCCAAGAAAAACTAGCCTGCAGGTCTGCACCTCTTCAGCTTCGCAACGAGCTTTGCGGGATGAAGGAGAATTGAGTCACACCCCTGTCAGATCTTTAGCATTCTTTAGTGAGTCCTTCACTTCTATATCGGTTCAGTCGATCGCCGTCTATGCCTGAATTTACCCTGTCTCTTACACGCAGTTCAGTATGCGACCCAGTGGCTAATGGCCATCTTGGATCGATAGTAGAAGGAAATCTTAAAACAGATTGGGGAGGGCTTGGAAGGGAGGCATCGCTTTCTTGTCGTTAGTAAAGGCAGGCAACCCAACAAGTGTATGTATGAGCATGAGCACCCAAAGGAGACAATCAAACAAACACACTTCACTCGAGTCGAAGGTAACAGCAAAGCTCAGCTGATACTAGAAGAGTTTTGCCAAGCTGTTGCCGCAACATTTTTGTTGGTTGCAAACCAACCAGATTATGTTTAAGTGGGCAAGTGATGGACTGGCTTGATCAAGGGCATCACTAAGGGTGTCGCTTCAAATCCCCGAGTTTGGGCTCCACAGGAGGTGACTCTTACCTCTTACATGTGCAGATCAAGAAGCTCTTGAAAGGAAAAACACATGTCAAACAAATGCACTGGATAATGTTCATCCTTCATGTTCTGGTAGACCATCGCTTTTGGCCCGTCGCGAACCCCTGGGTTTTTGCCAATTCTCAAGGACTGAAGGCGGCTCACGGACGATGGCTCACGGACGATTGCTCACGAAAAACGCTCATCGGCTCCAAAATCAGAGTCCGCTTGCGTCCAAATTCTTTCAAATCAACAACTCCTTACAAAACTCTATGGCCCTTGGATATAAAAACCTCGGTGTTCACGGCTCCGTGCGCATGGCGATGGAGCGTTCCGCCCGGTGCCCGCGTGGCTGGTCGCCCAGTGGCCCGCCATCCGAGACGATTCGCCCGCCGAGACCTCGGGTTCGCGAATCGAACGGAGCGATCGGACCGCTATGCTCGGTGGAGGCCACTAGAAACAGGAAGCTACTAGTATTCTTCCCATCGTATCTGAACAGGTTGTTGAGTTCGTTAACTTGATGTATCTGGTCTTTTCCTTTCAAACACATAAAAGCGTAAGCGCAGGGTGTAAAGGTGCTAATGTCCCCGAAGTGCTCCCGAGATCTGCAGAAGGCGAACCTCAACTTGATGAAACTGATACATCTGGGATCAGTTTCAGTGCGCCTTTTTCATGAGCACTGGGCGCAGCTAAAGTTGCGGAAAGTATTATAAGGAGTAGTAGTAGCTCCTTGCGGCAATTACTAGGCAGTCCCCCAGGCCCCCAAACAACAAAGTATTTGGTGCTTTCTAGGCAATTGTTTTGCATCAAACCACTTGAGGACTTGGTCGTGCAAACACCCAGCACCATCCTCTCTTCGGGTCACATGATGTGACCAGCTAGGTGCAGGTTCAGGTTTGCGGGAGCTTTCTGTCAAAGCGACAGTGTAGGGGATGGCTGCTGGCG